TGGAGAATGGGGCTGTTTGATGTGTTGTATTCTCCATTCAGAGGGCCCCTGCCTGTCTTTGCCTAGGGCCCCAAATTGCCCCTGCCTATAGTCAATATGCCTGCACAAGACATCAGATTTGCATTTATCCCTTTAGTTTTCTACGAAAAATATACTTTAAACAAAAAACAAAGGTCAGATCACCATAAGCTTCAAAAAAAAAAAAAAAAAAAGTTAATAATTAAATTCTTTTTTTTGTTCATGACTAAAGGGATCACGCCCTTTGAGGCAGTTTACAGTTTATTTTTTGTACAAAACTAAAGGGATAAACAGGTATTGACTATGGGTATCTGGTCTGACAGAACAGCAGGTCTAATCTCCACTGGAAAAAACATTTATACATTTATTTGCAATTATCTCTACTTTCTACTCCTTACAATCTAAAAATAGACCCGTTAGTTTTGTTTCATTTGAGCTTATTTTCATTATGACCTGCTGGTATTTAAAAACTAAATAAATAAATAAAAAGCATAAAAAAAATTGTTTCATTCAGACAATTCCTTTGTGGTTGGACTCGGTGCTGCCCCAACTTGTTGCTCACCACAAACCAAAATAAATAATTTTTCAAGATGATGCAAAGTTAAATGTTACCCTGTTAGCATTAGTTATAAAACTAAGAAAAGGAAGTCTAAGGAAGTTATTATGGCCTTAACAGTTGTTTCTGCATTACTTTTATTTTTATATTTTAACAGTTTTAAAAATGGTACTTTTACACTTTTACTGGAGTAAAAAGTTGAAGTTGATCCTCTAAATTCTATTAAAGTTTTTTTTAAACAGTAGGATTTAAACTGGAGTAATAAACAGATACCTTGGCCTTGAGATACATTAAAATGACTTTAGTCGTTCTTTTAAAATTGTTGCAGTAATCATGAATCATGATCCAAACTCCACCCCTCAGCTGGTGGCCTTAATGCACCAAAAGTTGCTCCCTAACTGCATCAAACATCAGAAGAAGTAGAAGAGGATAATATTCCAGCAACTCCTGGTTATAGTTTAGGTATATGAGGGGAAACGAAGCGGAAACAGAAAAACATGCTGCTTTTTTTAATAGACTTTATTAGAAAATTCTTTATATCCTTTAAAATAGATACAAGAGGGTTTAATCATAATAATTTCACATTTGTGGATATAAAACTTGGCCAACAGTAGTGAAAGATTTAGAAATTGTCAGAAAGTTATTTTTTACATTCAAATAAAACATCCTTAAAATAAAGTTAAAATTTAACATAAATATTTTCCAGATTGAAGCGACAGATAGTTTACCATTATGGGGCGACGTTTGCAAAGCAGTCAAAAATTAGGAGCAATATTTATGGTTATTTAGA